ACTACTTGTGTGTTTTAATGACTCAGGAAGCTGAGGTCACAACAATTTTCTCATCATACCTGTTGTTGGCTTATTTCGAATATTTCTCCAAGTGGCTTCCCTGGAGTGAACACACCATTTTCTCAAACATCAGGTGATTGAGACATGGGGGTAGACAGTACCTTGCTGTTGTCCAGACTCGGGGACGGGGGTCATTGGCGGCTTGGTGGGTTTGGGGACTGGGTTTTGGAACTGGGAACAGGTGGCCAAGAGTTTCATCTTTTGGATTTGCTGTTCTTCTTCGGCTTCAAATTCCATGAACCTTAGGGAAGGATGGAGATGAAAAAAGATTGAGTAAGGCAGTCAACCATCTTAAAACCCACACCAGATACACATAGCGTAAATTGAGGGCCCCCGGGGGGGATACTAAAAGGGAGACTTGGAGCCAATTCTCACTTTTCTGCCATTTCATAGAAGATCATGCGTTCAAAATTGCTGCTGTGCTCCCATTCCTGCACAGCACGAGGAACCCCATCCTCTAACGTCATGTTGGGACGCAGGCGGGCCAGTGAACGGAGGACGGGGCTGTAGGGCAGGATGGCAATATTGTATATCAACAAGATTTCCCAATTATGAACAGTCCTCTTCACTGTAATGAGATACCATTGCCCATTGTAGCATCTCCCACCACATGACTTTCCATCCCACCCGTCCCTCCTTCCCCAAGCCCTCATCTTCAAGACCCCTTCAAAGTACCTTCTCAGCTTCTTGGCCTCTCCAACAGTGTGTCTCAGTGGTTACGGCGCTGTGATAGAAGTGTAATTGATATAAGTGTACAAAACAAGAAGAGAGTAGCAAGGGGTGAAGGAACCAACATTTCGAGATGCGCTTATAAAAAAAAAAAGATAAGACAAAGACGAGGGGGAAGTTAGCAATAGATTTTACGAAGACTGCCCTATGAGGAAAAGCAGAAGGAAACTTTGCAGCTCCAGTAAGAGTGGGTTTCCTTTGGGCCAGAATTTTTAGAAACTTGTTTTGGGGGGGTGCTGATTTTAATTTTGATTCTGCTTTGTTTCTTGACATCACACAAACATTTGACATGAGCACACTTAGAAATGTAGCTGCGGCCTGAATTTAAGCAGTCTAGTTTAGAATATTGGTGAGACTAGAAATTCAGGTTTTGTATTTTTCGGAGTATAAGACGTACCTTTCCCACCCCCCAAAAGGGGGTGAAAATTTAGGTGCGTCTTATACACTGAATGTAGCCCCACCCACCCACTGACCACCACCCTTTGGCTGCTGCCTCGCAGCAATTATCTCCTTGCAAGCAAAGAGCAAGAAAAAATAGCTCCTTTCAGCTTCGGCACAACCTAATTAGCACAAGTTGATTGGATCGGCCTCCCAACTCTCAGCTGATTGGCTCTCAGTTGCTTTGCGCAGGGCTCTGCTGCTTGTTCCAAAGAGGTAAATTGCTAGAGCAGATTTTTTTTTTCCTTGTGCTAATCAAGCTATGCTGAAAACGAAAATGAAAGTAAAGCAGGCTGTTTGCTATTTGCTGCAGCGAGGCAAAATTGCTCAGAGGCAGAGGGAGATTTCTTTTTCTTCTTTTCCTCACCAAAAAAGATAGGTGTGTCTTATACTTATACTTGTGTAGGTGTGTATATACTTATACCGAAAAATATGGTATATCCTGTGATGAACAAAGCAGCATCTGAGACCAAGATACCTTACAGAATTGTTGGGAGGATAAATCTGAAGGGAAGATTACGACTGATGCTACTTGGGTGCTGAAGAAGGTGGCATATAAATTAATCAAAGAAACAGTTTCTGGTTGCCTATCCTTAGACGCATAGATCTGAAATTTTAGATGGAAATTTTATTTTGGAGGTAAAGTTGAAATCTCTGTAAAAACTGACTAACTGGGCTCAGTTTACATCCTGGATTGCAGGTTTCACAAAGAGAAATTTGAGATGTGGAGCAAACCAGTTTTTAGTTTGCTACCAAAGCCGTATTGCTTTGGGCCAAACCATTTTCCTCCCTCAAGTGTATTATTCTAACGGGTTGAACTGAGTACCTTTTGAAAAATAGGATTCTCTCTCTCTTTAAAATAGGATTCTCACTGGCAGTTTGTCCCAGTGAAGGATAATTTAATTTTAAGTGTCTTAATCTAGGTTGATAATATTGCTCGATACCATGGTTTATCAGAAATCACTAAGCCATGAAGTCTAAATATGTAGCTGGGTTCACCCAACAAGCTAAACCAAAATCTAATACATTCCTTTAAGGTTTGGTATATTGGCTGAACCCTGTCTGTATCTCCTTATCATCCCAAATCAAGATCAGATTTCCAACCTATGGATCTTGCCCACCAGGATCCTCACATGAAAAAACAAGCAAGAGCTTCTGCATCAGGTGTGGCTGGGAAATGGCGTCTTGCCAAAGCCTTGTAGCGTTGCCAACGCCGGTAATTCTCATAAACTCCCTTGGACGTACAAGCAAAAGAGGTGTCACTGGAAGGTGACCCTTGAGCAGATGGGACAGCCTCAGGTGCTCTGGTTTTCCGACCACCTGGCTCCTCACCGGCTTTTGTCAACAACACAGTGCGGATGCCGGGACCACCAGGTCCATCCCGGCGCTGGGTGGCCCAACCCAATGGCATTCCTGTCAGGAAGAAAGTCTGAGTTCGGGGCAGTTCCTCACTACCTCCCATAAGAGGTCCTTCACGTTTCAGTTTGATGATTAGCTTGCTTCCTGGGGTGTCAGCTGAGGTCACCAGTAAAGCAGCCCCAGGAAAAGCTGGCAGTAGCAGTGAAGGAACATTTGGAGGGCAGGATGAGAGGCCAGGGCCCTGGTTATGATTCTGGGAAGTCATGATCCTATAGGAGAAAGAATCTTAAACAAATTGAGGTGGCCAAGAAAACTGGCAGCCCTTTGCTCTCGGTGAGGTTCTGCTGTAACAACATTAGTGGAAGTGGATTGGATGCTGGGTCTTCTGGGAAATTCATGAGGCCGGCATCTGGTTTCCAAGAAGATCGCTCATTGTTGACTTGACTCTAAGTGCAAAGGTTGAATAACGGTTCCAGAACTCGGATGTCTTGGTGGTTCTAATAAGGGGGAGGAAGTTTAAAGTTCTACCTACAGATCTGACCTGAATTTTCATATAGTGTGTCTGTATTTATAATTCCCATTATGCGACCATAATGGAAAATACTTTGAGACGCCATGGTTCCTTCAGCCAGAAGGAACGTTCTACTCTATCTCAACAGTACTTCCTGAGGGCCTTTTCTCTCTCGGATCTTTTACCTCTTCATCTGTAAACAGGAATAGGTTACAATAAAGTATTGGGTTCCGTGATTAAGATTCATGCCCGATTGTTGCCCTGTAGACAACACAGCACTTCTCAAGGTAAAGAAGCACGTTTTAGATATTCCGTTTGGTTCAGTTGATAAATCCTTTTTCTAGCTGAGACCTTTTAAAAAAATATTACAGAAGCCCTATAAAGTTACATACCTTTCCCCAAATGTGACCCAAGTCCAGTTTACCAAAACTGAAACAGCAAAAAGGGGGTGAGTATAGTTTGTTTGTGAGGCGCAGTTTAATACATGATGTCTCTTCTGACATCGGGCAGTGAATTGTAGGCACGTTATCCCCTTGAGGGCAGCCTAGAGACTGATCCTTACAATGTAAACCAGTTTGAAACTGTTTAACTGTCATATGGCCTCTATTTAAACAGAACTTTTGAAAAATGTAAGTTTGGAGAAAGTACCAATAAACCCTCTTCCAAGAGGGCTTGCTCCCAGGTCACACAGTGGAATTGGGATGCTGGTTTTAGGTGACACCTAAGAGAAAATTGACTTTTATATTTTATCGATGCCTTCCAGCTTTATTCTACAACCAGGTTGTATTCAAGGCAGAGATTCGAGTTGGAGAATGATCTACATTTATTTCTTCTGACTGGAAATGTGATACTCTTCTCCTCTATTGGTTCAAACAATGGGCTGTCACAAATTATACGCTGTGGTCCAAATTTTTATTTTCCAAAACAGTGAAAGGTTTGGACAACACTATCTTCTGCAAAAAAAAAAAAAAAAAGTGGTCAGGGTGTTAAAATACAGCTGTTACTTTCTTTCCTTTTTGTCTACTAAAATCATCATTTATGATGGCAATGTTTGTGGTGTGGACTTCAATTGCTGGCGGGGCAATTCTGGGAGTTGAAGCCCACATACCTTACAAGAGTCCAGGTTTGAGAATCAGTGTGCTGGAGTAGTGGATTCACACAGCACTTTAAGTAAACTAAGATGGTTTTGCTCAACAAATCTAATTTTCTGGTTTCCATAATTTAGTGAACCATGAAGGAATATCCACGGGTGAGGCTTACCCAAAATACAGCAGACACAAACATCGGTTTAGCTAGCTTGTGAGTTACTGTGGTGTGCAAACACAGACACGATAGTTTGGTGTGGGCTTAGTACGCGTGTGAACTACAGCCACTAGTTTATTCAAGAAATAAGGATAAGTTACTCTATGTGTTTGCACAGTTGCAAATCGGCATATCACGTGGACCGATTTTGGTTGTTTTGTGTTGGGGTCGTTATCGTCCGTCCGTCCGCCCTTGTTTATCTGCTGCCCTAGGCAACATCCGTGATCTGCAGATCTCCGGAAAATGATCCCCTTCGATAGTTTTCTAGCGCCACGTGCTACTTGTTACGCAACTATTCTGCATTATTATTATTTTTTTTTTAATGCAACAACTGTATTTTCTTAGCACGAGATCCAGTCAAGCGAAAAACCTCCGGAAAAAAAAAAAAAACCCACATTCTCAGCGAAGACGCTTTCTACAGCTCCTGATGCAGAATAATGAGGCTTGGCGCGGAGAAAAGACTATCGTTCCCAGAATTCATTGAGGGGAACAGACTACAACTCCCAGGAGAGCACTGCGAGCCAGACAGTAACGTGAATCGTGGAGCTCGAAGCTTAATAAAACGACAATTCCCAGAATGCTTCGGTTCTTCCTGGGGGGGGGATGAAAGTGTAGGCCTGTAAGGTATCCGGAAGGGGTGATATCCACGTGCGTGTGAGCGGAGAAGTGCGTTTTTTTTGTCTCATAATAAACTCTGAAGTCAGCGGCGTTGCGGTTGCAGCTTGGCCAAAATGTTTTTGCAGTACTATATCAATGAACAAGGGGAGAGAGTCTACACTCTGAAGGTAAGGTTTGATCACAACAGAAAAAAAGAACAGAGTAGGAGAATGGGAAGGGACCTTGGAGGTCCTCTAGTCCAACCCCCTGCTCCAGCAGGAGATCCTATACCATTCCGGACAAATGATTGTCCATTTTTCTTCTTAAAAGCCTCCAGTGATGGAAGACCCACAATGTCTGAAGGCAAGCTTTGTTTTTTTTCACTGTCTCCTTTGTTCTGGCTTTGCTTCTCTCCTTGATTTGTTTCCACCCATTGTTTCTTGTCCTGCTTTCTGGTGTTTTGGGAAATAGGTGGACCCCCCCGCCCTCCTTCTTTGTGGCAGCCTCTCAACTATTGGAACAGTGCTATCGTGTCACCACTGGTCCTTCTTTTCTTTAAACTACTAGATCAGTCCAGTTCCTGCAACCGTTCTTCTTATGTTTAACAGATTAACAGAGTTAAGGAAGTGATCTTGTGGGTCGTCTAGTCCAACATACCCCTCCTCGCCCAACATTCTGGGAGTTGAAGTCCACAAGTCTTAAAGCTGCCAAGTTTGAAGACCTCTGCTCTACACCATTTCTGACAAATGGCAGTCCAATCTCTTCTTGAAAAATTCCAGTGATGAAGCTCCCACAACTTCTGAAAACAAACTGTTCCATTGGTTGATTGTTCTCACTGTCAGAAAACTTCTCCTTATTTCTAGTTGAATCTCTCTTTGATCAGTTTCCATCCATTATTCCTTGTCTGGCCTTCAGGTGCTTTGGAAAATAGCCTGACCCTCTCTTCTCTGTGGCAACCCAGACTGCTATCATGTCTCCCCTGGTCCTTCTCTTCACTGGACTAGCCATGCTGAGTAGTTGCAACCATTCGTTGTAAATTTTAGCCTCCAGTCCCCTAATCATCTTGGTTGCTCTTCTTTGCACTCTTTCCAGAACCTCTGCCTCTTTTCTATAATGTGGTGACCAATATGGTTATATAATATGACAAGCAATACAAGTTCCTTGGCCCTTTAGCAATTCATCCAAATGGTTTTCCTTTTTTTTTTTTTTTGTAACCCTGCAGTTAATCTTGATGCACCTGATAAAGCTGAAAACACAATCTTTCCGTACTATTTCTCTTAATTATCTTTTGGGAAGTAAAGGAAGATGGAGAATGATCTCTGTAGGCAATTGGATTCATTTCTAGAATGTAATATGGGAATATTTTGTTCAATTTAAAACGAAGATAATTATTTTCAGGCTCTCCCAGGTCTTTAGCGTGGGCAGGAAAAAGTGGGAAATGTAGAAATCAATGTGAAAAAAATGTTAGAAATGGGTTCGTTAGGGAATGGAGTATTCATTTACTATGTCTGTTAGAACCTTGCATATTCCTAAAGATTTCCTAAAGATAAAAACCGATGAAAAGAGATTGAAAGCACAAATATGCAATTCAGTGGCTAGAGCAGTAACATGTATGTTTGTTTTGTGACCTTACGGCTTTGGTTGCAAAGGATGCACCAATAATAATAATTTATAGTTTATTAATAAAACTGAATACAAACTGATCAAAGTCTTACCCCATCGCACGCCATGTTTAACTGTGTTTGAAAAGAAGTAAATGTGGAAAGACAGAGAATTGGAGACTATCACAAAATATCAAGATTTGAAAATAAAAATTGAAAGATCATAGCATAAGCTCGCCATGATGCTCACAATGGTTATCGGCACACTCGGTGCCACACCAAAAAATCTTGGATGACCCTTAGAAAACGGGCACATTGACCAGCTTTCAATCTGTCAATTGCAAAAGGCTACACTGCTTGGATCTACACAAACATTACATTCATATATTATGACATTTGGAGGAAGAACTTGATGTGAGCGAAGGCCAACATCAACTAAAGACTTGCAGCTGTGATTTCACGTTTTGGGGTATATCCTATATATTATATGCTTCTCAACTCCTGGCGATTCTGGATGGTTTACAATTGTTAAAATATTTAAAACAAAGAGAGATAGAAAATAACCCCACAAAACAGTACAAGCCAAAAGAAGAATGATGGCAACGAAAGTAAACCCAGAGAGAAACAGAAAGGAAGAAAGGGACATCAATTGTCGTCTCCACATGTCTGGGCAAAAAGCCACTGGGTCTTTAAGGTCATTTGAAATACCAGCAATATGGAAGCCATTCGAATTTTGGGCTGGGCCTTGTATAGTTATAGGATGATGAAAATACCTCTTAATGTAATGTCACTGCCTAGCTTTGGGATTATTATTTACTGTGATAATCATATTATGGTAATTAATTTATGATATCTACTTATTATATTATTCATTACTACATTTTGATTTCAGTCTCTGACAAGAAGATGAGCTTGGTATTATTCCAAAAGTGTTTGAAATAGGATGTTTTGAAAACGTGTAGCCAATTTCATATCGTGCTAAACCAAAACCAAAGAAACAGTGACTCCAGCTGCTGTAGCTTGTAAATCAGGGGTTTGGGTTTAATGTTATGCATAAACTGCACACCCACACACAGCCTCTATCTTATTAAAAATAATTCTTGGCAGTATACAATGTATTTTATTAGACTACATTAGACTGGTTCTCAATACTACTAAAACTCTTTTCCATAACCTTTAATTAGGCAAAACATTAGGAAACCCATAGGACAACATTTTTTGAAACAAAGTACTTCAAATGAGCTAATTTATATAAGGCATCTATCATCCAGGACTTGTGACTTCTGTGAAATTGAAATTTGGCAAATGTTATAAAGCTTTTTATGACACAAACATCATAAAACAGTTTGTGACAAGAGTACAAAATGTCAAAAATTATGTCTTGTGTTGACGTTTGATTGTGCTATATCAGTGGTCCCCAACCTTTCTGGCTCCATGGAGCGACAGTGGTAGGGGATGGTTTCACACAGATCTGGCAGCAGATTCGGACAGTGAGGAGGTTGGGGAGGAACATGGGCCAGTCCTGGAGTCCTGGGAAAGATTCTGATGAGGGCTCTGCATTGGAGGCAGAGAGGGGGCCAGGGCCGTATGCCAGTTATCAGCTGCCTTTGGAATCAGACATCAGTGAGGCAGACGAACAACTGGAGCCTGTTCCTAGTGTGCGCATGCCCAGAGTTCCCGGATGAAGAGAACAGCTAAAGAACAAGGGTTGACTTGGGAGTAAGGCCACAGGTGAACGATGAATGGCCCCTCCCAGAGGGAATGAAAAAGGAGTGAAAGGGGAGTGGAGTTTGCAGGAGACAATTAGTTCGCTTAATTGGTTTGTGACTCCTTGCCAGGTTTTGAAGATATCGGCCTGGCAGTTCTCCAAGCCAGATAAGGTCTGTGACTCAAAATTGTCCCTTGAAAGACTTTGCTGGATGTGAATGAGAAGAATTCACAGAAACTTAATAAAAAGAGTTTTTTGTCAGGATAAGGAGTCTGCTTCATGCTCTTGGGAAGCCTAGGTCAGAGCAGCCTAGATCCTGCGCATGTAAAGATGAATCTTCGCTCACCTAACATTCCTAACAGCTGCGGATCGATATCAGACTGTGAATCGGGTTAGGGACCTTTGTGCTATAGATTTCAACATAGTTCCAATAGACAATATTTGTAGCTTATAGTTGAATTGAGGGGTCCTTGGTGCTCTCTGAGCTTGGTTGTTTTCTTACAGACGTTTCATTATCCAACCAGGTAACATCATCACTCAACATCTAGCACTGATGATGTTACTCAGTTTGGGTATTGAAAGGTCTGGAAGAACATAACCCAGCACAGAGAGCACCAAGGAGCCCTCAGTTCAACATGGGCTATTTTCAAGGCAGAGATACATCTCTGAATGAATCCCAGCTTTTCCAGTGAAGGAAGTTCATTAGAAGCTCTGTCATTGTTGAAGACACTGAGGTAAGGAAATACCTCTGAAATGATGACCTCCATGGGGTCACTGGTTGTCTAAAGTTAGACCAGAGGTGAAATCTAACAGGTTTCTAACAGGTTCTGGAGAACCGGTAGCAGAAATTTTGAGTAGTTCGGAGAACCGGGAAATACCACCTCTGGCTGGCCCCCGAGTGGGGTGGGAATGGAGATTTGGCAGTATCCTTCCCCTGGAGTGGGGTGGGAATGGAGATTTTGCAATATCCTTCCCCTGCCACGCCCACCAAGCCACGCCCACAGAACCGGTTGGGAAAAAGTTTGGATTTCATCCCTGGTTTAGACCTGTTTTTGATAAGAAAGCACATTGGTATCCATCAAACGCCAAGGGACATAGAGCTGGGACTATGTGTGTGAATGAAAATAAAAACTCCAGCGAAAACTGCAGGAAGACTTTAATATCCATTAGCACTTTCCAGTTTTCTTAGGTTGTCAGTTGATTGGTGGTTGAATATACTTCTCTGAATTAAAGAGAAGCATTTGTAGCACAAGCCCTGTGTAGAGTACTGAGCACCTCAGCATTGATTTTTCATGGTCTTTAATACACTGCTCAAAAAAATAAAGGGAACACAAGCAGAAGACATCCGAGATCTGAATGAAGGAAATAGCCTTATTAAATACTTCGTTCGTTACATACAGTAGTTTTGTGTTCCCTTTAGTTGTTTGAGCAGTGTATAAACTACTGTATGTAACAAACAAAGTATTTAATAAGGCCACTTCATTCATTCAGATCTCCAATGTCTTCTGCTTGTGTTCCCTTTATTTTTTTGAGCAGTATACTTTGCACATGTTCTGGTTACTAAGTCTGCATTACTATTAATCTTCTCATTGTTCCTATCACCCATCTCCTCCCACTTATGACTGTATGACTGTCATAACCTTGTTGCTGGTATCCTTAAGATTTATATTGACTGTTTCCCTATGACTATCAATAAGTATTGTACCTTATAATTCTTGATGAATGTATCTTTTCTTTTATGTACTCCGAGAGCGTATGCACCAAGACAAATTCCTTGTGTGTCCAATCACACTTGGCCAATAAAGAATTCTATTCTATTCTATGTTCTGGATAGGGTTCCAGTGAGCTTCCAATAAGTTATGCTCATACAGCTGTTTTATCTGAGAGGTAGGGGCGCGCAAGGCTTTAAGATGGAATATGTTTGATTTAAAGTCAATACATGATCTTCTTGAAATTGACACACGGTTCTGTCTTGCTTTGTAGAAAATGGATCCATCCGGCCAGCCAACATGTTCAGCCCACCCTGCTCGCTTCTCTCCGGATGACAAATATTCTCGACACAGGATCACCATCAAGAAACGCTTTGGTGTCCTGATGACCCAGCAGCCTCGGCCTGTGGTTTAAATATGATTCCATCCTGCTTCCCAAGTTACAAAGGCGGCGAGATCAGCTTTGAAGCAGCAGATGAAGATGAAAAATACCTGACGATCTGCATTCTGCCGTCCACATTGTTGTCTCCCTGATGTTTGCTGATGCTTTTCAAACTTGACTTAATTGCCGTCTATGGTCTGTGGATGAGGAATGACTGACATCCTGGGAGCGAGACAAAATTATTTTATTCACTTTTTTTCTGGCTATGTAATTCTGGAAATAAAGTGAGATTTTTTTTTCCATTGTTCTATTTCATTAGCATGACGGGTCCATGTAGTATTTCCCAGAGAAGGATAGCTTATTTTTTCCCCCCAGTATGGTAGGGCTATCAATATCAGTAATGCTGGAAAAAGCAGCTTGAATTTTGAGCGGATGATTTTTTTAGTTCTTGAGTTAACCAGATAACTTTGGGCAATGTGGCACAAATAGATTGATGTTGAAAATCACCCTCATTGACAGTTTCTCATCGAATTGTAGGGAAATATTGAGTCAGGTACCATAATGTTCCATCCTCCTTCCTTAGCTCAATTTTTTTCAACATTTTTTGTAAATAATTTGGGTGCGGAAAAAGCTTATCAAATATTCTGATATTACAGAATTGGATGGGATAACTAGTGCTCTGGAAAAAAAAAATCCAAAATGTTCTTGTAAAATTTTTAAAGAATGGCTTGAAAATAACAGTGAAATTGAACAGACAAATGCAAAGTCATCCCTCAGACAACAAATGCATAAATATAGGATGGGACTTGGCAGTAACATTTAGGGAAAAGGCTTTAGAATAGCAGTTCATCATAAACAAACTGAGTCAGCAGGGTACTGATGCAAAGAAGGTGAATATTTTACGCTCTTTCAAGGGAAGTATAATTTCCAAATCATAAGTAATAATTTCTATTCATTTTGCATTAGTTGGATCCACACCTTGAATTCCTTGTGTGTCCAATCACATTTGGCCAATAAAGAATTTATTCTATTCTATTCTATTCTATTCTATTCTATTCTATTCTATTCTATTCTATTCTATTCTATTCTATTCTATTCTCTACTCTACTCTACTCTACTCTACTCTACTCTACTCTACTCTACTCTACTCTACTCTTATTCTATTCTAAAAATTCAATACTGGGTATACCTTTTAAGATTCAGAAGAATTGAAGCAAGTTTCACAAAAACTACAAAGATGATCCGGGAGACAAGAAACTAAATTTCATGAACATATTGAGAAAACTAAAGGGTACATAATGCTTTTCAACTCTCTGAAAAGTTGCCAACAAAGCAGGCTAAAAACCAGCCCTTTGTCATGCTCAAAGATCAAAGTATAGAATTAAGATAGAGGAAGGCAGATTCCAGCTGAATCCAAATAGAATAAGTTTGGATGAGCAGATGGCTTCCCTGGAATTGGGATGCCTTGAAGATATTCTTGCAAGTGAGCAGAAAAGTGCCTAAATCGTCTCAATTCTCAATCAGGCCTACCTGTGCCAATAGCAACCATATTAATGTAGGGGTTTTTTTTGAATTTTGCTGGCTGCTTAGTCTCAGATTGGGGCATTTCATTTTGGTGGGTTACAGATGAGACATCTTGTGCCATAGCTGAGAACTCAACAAAGAATCTTTGCTTCACCTGATTCTTATCAAGAGATTGCTATTCTCCTCACCTTTCATTTATTGTGTCTCTTGGACGTATTATCTATCCTTTGCAGCACAATTCTTGAAAATCTTAATGCTCTTGGAGAAAGGGTGATCAAACATATAAGACACTCCAGCAGATGGTCATTTTCTACTGCCAATTATCTGGTATCAATCACATGGATGCAGAATACTGAAGGGGATTGCTTGTTATGAATTCTGTCTTGTTCTTGTGTTGCTTGGGTTTTCACTTCCTGCCTCAAACTGGGGGTGGGAAGGGCTGATCTGAGCCAAAGGCTGCTATTTAAAATGTTTCAGGGTGTTCACATCCTGCTGCTGAAACCGCACTAGGAGTGGGGGAAGTCAGACAATAAACAGAAGGGCTGCCACCGCTAGATTTTGAGCAGCGAAGCTCACGTGAGTTAAGCAAGGCTGAATCAGGGCCCAGCTGACTTTCTTCCATGCTATTCAGTCCGATGCAGCTTTTTTGCTGACTAGGTATATGTAAAAAAACGGGGAACAATTTGTGTCTCCCAAGCAGGGAGAATCCATGCAAGTACATTTAGGGTGGCATGCCAGAATTGGATGTTATGCTGAATCAAAGGGTGGTTGGGGTGTGAAACCTCGAACAGGAGGTTTTCTACAGATATGAAAAAAAAAAGTCGTATCACTTTATCTTTCCCCCAACACCCTTTAGCTGCTTAGGACTTGCAGGGGGAACAATGTGGTACAACTGGTTAGCATGCAGGACTAGTCTTAAGAAGACTGTTTCAAGTCCTTGGGCTCAAATTAGTATATCAGTATAATATAGGGGGAAAGAACAGAATAGCAAACTCCCATAAGTTTCATGGAGAAAATCATTTATTAAACCTGACCTGCCCATTTATCATATAAGATGGACTATGACTCAGGCTGGCCTATAGTGAAATGATTCAGAAACTCTATATTGAATCCTTTCCAAATGTATTCAGCACTGTTTTCCGTTTTTTAGTGTGTGTGTGTGTCAGTCTAGCAGTCTTACCACCAAGAGGATCCAATCATTTTAGTCAAGAACTAGAAAAAGCTGAGGGGAGACAGACCGGTCAGTTGCTTCCCTCCTACAGTGTCGGGAAGCAAATTCAATTCTTGATTTATTCGTTTAATTTAATTTAATGAAGTTAAATAGGGTTTTCCTCTCCCAGAAGGTTTCCAGGAGAAGGGGAAAGAAGGCAAAACTGAAGTTAATGGTGGGATTGGTGAAAAGGAAGGGCTTCCTTGCATAGACTGAAAAATGACACGACAGAGGCTTCCATTGTGATGTCAACAATTTTTTTTTATTGAAAAAGTTTTAATCAAAAAAAAAACCACACAATTTTCCCACAACTCTCCCACCCATCCCCCCTCCCCGACTTCCCAGAGCAGAACACAAGGTATTTCAGTTAACTTTTAACAATAAACTAAATTGCTTAATTATCCATTAAACTCACATCCCCTCTTAAAAAATAAATTCTTAACCCCCCCATAGATAAAATCATGCTTCTTGGATATAATACTTCTAAAATCACTCATATAACGCTTATACCATTAAAGATTCATTCATAAGCTATTTGATATTTTTTAGTCTGATACTTATTTTGAATATAATCAATCCATCTTCTCCAATCCAATATATATCTTTCTTGTGTATGATCCTTCAAGTATGCTGAGATTTTAGCCATTTCAGCTAAGTTAGTTACTTTCAGTATCCAAGCATCAATAGTAGGCAAAAAGTCCTTCTTCCAGTGTTGTGCTATCAACAATCTTGCTGCTGTTATTAAATTCAGGATCAGTTTAGTCTCTACAACTGTACAGTCCATAGTTATACCCAGTAGAAACAAGTGCGGGGTAAATTTCAATCTTTTTTTAAAAATATTCTGCATCACCCACCAAATCTTTATCCAGAATGCTTTGATTTTTTTACAAGTCCACCATATATGATAATAAGTTGCATCATCACAATCACATCTCCAACATTTAGCTTGCACATTAGGATACATACATGATAGTTTTTTGGGATCTAAGTGCCATCTATAAAACATTTTATAAAAGTTTTCTCTTAAATTTTGTGCTTGTGTAAATTTCACATTTCTAATCCAAATCTTTTCCCAAGTCTCCATCATCACGGGCTCTTGAAAATTTTGTGCCCATTTAATCATGCAATCTTTAACCAATTCCGTCTCTGAATCTATTTCCAATAAAACATTATACAACCTTTTAATATGCATTTGTTTTTGATCTCTAATTTGTTTTACCAAATTTTCCTCATTTTGCACAAAACCAGTTTTTTGATCTTCCTTCCATCTAGCTTGAAGCTGACCATACTGAAACCATGTATAAATTATACCTTCTTCTCTCAATGTATCTAAAGATTTCAAATATAATACACCCCTTTCTATAACAAGAAGCTCTTTATAGGTAATCACCTCCTGTTTTTGTTCTATACTTATATTTTCTGTTGCATGTCTAGGGTTTGCCCATACAGGTATCTTATAATTTAACTTATATTGATATTTTTTCCAAACCCTCAACAAAGCATTTCTAAGTATATGGGCCTTAAATACTTTATCCACTTTTTTATCATATAACAAATAAGCATGCCATCCATATAGTAAGTCATAACCTTCCAAATTCAACATTCTCCCCTCAGTTAAATTAAACCAATCACTAATTTGCGATAAGACCGCTGCTTCATAATATAGTCTTAAGTTAGGCATTTTAAGACCATCCCTTTCACGTGTATCTTGTATAATTTTCATCTTTATTCTGGGTTTTTTCCCAGCCCAAATAAAAGTATTAACACCTTTCTGCCATTCTCTCAAGTTTTCATCTTTCTTAAGCACTGGTATCATTTGGAACAAGAATAAAAATCTGAGTAATACGTTCATTTTAATTGCTGCAATTCTTCCCAATAAAGACAACTGTAATTTTTTCCAATTCTCCATATCCTTCTGTACCTTCTGCCAGAGATCTTCATAATTATTTTTATATAATTTTGTATTTGACGCTGCTATATACACTCCTAAATATTTAACTTTTTTAACTATTTAAAACCCCGTTATTCTTCCTAGTTCATCTCTTTCAAGTACAGACATGTTTTTGGTTATCATCTTTGTCTTATATGAATTGACTTTAAATCCTGATACTTTCCCATATTGATCAATTATATCCAATATATGTGGAACCGACTTTATGGGTTGAGATAAAGTAACAACCAAGTCATCTGCAAATGCTCTTAATCTATAATCTTGATGTCTGATTACAATACCCTTCAATTTTTCTGAGTCACGTATCTTATTCAATAGCACTTCCAAAGTCAAGATAAATAACAATGGGGACAGGGACATCCCTGCCTTGTTCCTTTCTCAATTCTAAAAACCTCTGTTAGACCTCCATTAACTATTATTTGTGCTGTTTGCTGCTGGTATATCACTCTAATTGATTGTGTGAAATACTCCCCAAAATGCATTTTTTCTATTATTTTGAACAAAAATTGCCAGTTCAAACGATCAAATGCCTTCTCTGTATCCAAAAATATAAACGCTGCAGGGACTTGGTTGTTTTTTTCCAAGTATTCCAATAAGTTTGCAATTTGTCTAACATTATATTTCATTTGTCTCCCTTTTATGAATCCTGATTGATCATTATGAATTATTTGTTGCATAACTGGCATTAATCTATTAGCTAATATCTTAGCAAAAATCTTATAGTCAGTATTCAAGAGTGAAATTGGCCTAAAATTCTCAGGTTTAATACAATTTTGATCCTCCTTTGGAATTAATGAGACAAAAGCTGTTTTCCAAGAGGGCGGTACTCCTCCCCCTACCTGTATTTTGTTAAATAGAATTTTAAGTGGTTCTAACATTTCAGATTGTAAATGTTTGTAATAAACAGCTGTTAATCCATCTGTTCCCGGAGCCTTACCTATTTTTAATTGTTTGATTACCCCAGCAATTTCCTCAGCAGTTATTGGCTGGTTCAATCTTTCTCTCTGTTCCAGCGTTAATTCAGGAATATCTACCTTTAAGTATCAATATCAACATTTTGGATTGAATCTTTAGCATATAACTTTGTATAGAAATCCAAAAAAGCCTTTTTAATTAAATTTTGTTGATAAATTTCCTTACCTCTAAATTCGTGATGCCAACAATTTTGATGCCTTTAGAAAGGAATTAGATTAACATTAGGCCAGTGTTGAAATCCAATTGTTTTTAATACCGGTTCTGTGGGCGTGGCTTGATGGGCATGGCAAGGGAAGAATACTGCAAAATCTTCATTCCCACCCAACTCCAGGGGAAGGATACTGTAAAATCCCCATTCCCTCCCCACTCTGGGGCCAGCCAGAGGTGGTATTTGCGAGTTCTCCGAACTGCTCAAAATTTCCGCTACGTTTCTCCAGAACCTGCTGAATTTCACCCCTGCATTAGGCCCTCCATGACCACAAATTTTGGGAGATATATATTTGGAATATCTCATGTGCCCTAAATAATCAGCAGTGACTTAGAAGCAAGCATGGAAAAGAGCTGTTGGTCTCCTAGTATTGCTTGCAGGCTTCCTGGATTCATCACACCCTATGGGACACATGCCCCAAAAGTCACCTTGGGGCCAAATCCGGCAACACTCTTCTAAAGGCCTAAGGGCTATGATATTACAACATATCTGCTGCTTGAAGGGCACTAAGAGTCAAATGCATCTTAATATTGCATTGCTCCCATGGATTTGCATTTTTCCATTGCATTTTTCTGCAATATCATTGCATGTAATGAATTGCTTCTTTGCTCACCATTATGTGCCTGTAGACTTTGAACAATGTTTTAGCAACTTTAAGATGGGGGAGGGGAGGGGAGGGGGAAGTTCAGAGCTGGCTGGACAATTCTGGGAGTTGAAGCCCCCCTCCCCATCTTAAAGTTGCCAAGGTTGAGAAACACTGCCATAGAGACTAATCTCCTTGATTTGAGCTGTGTCCCTAGTTGATTTATAGGTAATAACTCAGGTGCCATTTGCCATTGCTGCAATCTGGGGATTCCTCCCCAAATCCATTTCCAATTTAAGTCTCCAGCCCTGAGATTTTGCATACTGAATACTCTTCAGGTCTGATCAAGCTTAGCATCCCCACAAAAAGCCAATATTGGCCAAGACTTTGCTTAGGATGCATTAGAAGCCATAAAATGAAGTTGTGAATACTGTATCTGGCTATTTGAGGGGGGGGGGGAAGGCAGCTGGGCCCACCAAAAGAGGTTGCTCTCAGGTTAATGGAAGCCTCAGTCATGAGTTCCTCTTCCAATTTTCCCGAAGTCTCACTTAGTCCCTCCTCTCGCTATAATTTCTTTCCAGCGACATAATTTGGGGAGGTCAGAAGACCCCCCTCATTCTAAGGAAACTACATCCCCCAGCAACCCTCGCGCGTTCGTAGCATCCCCTTCTCTCCCTCCTCCCCCCCTCCAAAGGATTCCCAACACCCCCCCCCCGGCCATCTCCCTCGTCTCCGCGCGCTTCTCTGAAGATTAAAAAAAAAAAAAGCCCAGCAACAATAACCGCTATTTCTTTCTGCGCTTGCGCGGCCAAAAAAAAAAAAAAAAAAGCGGCGACCAAGGAGGCGGTGGGGGGGTGGGGGCGGTGAGTTTGATAGAGATGGAAAACAGGAGAGGATGGGGACATTTAAAGAGAGCCCGCTCTCCTTCCTCCCCCTCCTTTCTCAGCATCTGAGATAGCGGCAGTACCAGCGTGCGGGGCGGGAGGCTGCCGCTTGTGTGCTGCGCGCGCCGCCCGGCCGGCCGGTCAGTCAGTCAGTCAGTCAAGCCAAGCCAAGCTGGCCAAAACAAGCCGGCGAAAGGTCTGAGGACGACGCGTGCGCCCGGGGGAGACCCTAATTTTGGAACGTTGGGGAGGGAGCCGCTCCGTCGCGCGCGCCGCAGGTAAACAAGCAACGGCCGCTCTCTCCTGTGTGTGTGTGTGTGTGTGTGTGTGTGTCCGGGTGGTGGTGGTGGGGGGGCGTTCCGCATCAAAGTACGTGAGGAGCTCGAGCGGGAGGAAAGTGAGGGTGGGGTGGTGGAGGAAAAGAGCGCGAGGGTGGCGCACGCGCAGTGTCGCCTTTCCACCTGTTATCTCTTTCCACGTTCGTTCCCTTTCCAACCCGCACCCCCCCCCCGCCCCGCCCCGAGAGTTTCTTGCGGGGTCTTCCCCGCTGAGGCGGACGATGGATGTGTGGGTGTGTGAGTGGGTGTGACTTTGAGGTGTGTGAAGAAGCCAGACCCCTCCCCAGCTTTGGACGGTTTTGGGGGGGGGGGGGCTTGAAAGCTGCAGCCTTAGTCTCCTCCCTTTGTATGGGTCTTTGGGTCCTCAACCCTTAGGGTGTTTTGTGGGGAGGGGGTCTACTTTGCCTCATTATCTCGTCTGGGTGGGGGGTCTGGGGTGCCTTGTGGGTGGTCTTTGTCACGACCACTTGCATTGCCTCCAAAGCTCCTTGCATGCCCCAGCAGCATCTTTTGCAGCAAGAATCGGCGTTGCCGTCATTCTGTGGGTCAGAGACCTGGGAATGTATGTTTCCTGCCTTTTTTGGTGAACTCTCCTGCAAATAATACTTACGAAACGGTCCTTTCTCCCTCTTGGCATAACACAACCAGCACCACCAAGGTCAGGTAGTCCTCGGCTTAACGACTACAACTGAGCCCCGAAATTTCTGTGGCAAAGTGAAACGTTTTGTTAACGGAATTTGGCGACCTTGCTTGCTGCGGTTGTTTAAGTGAATCGCTGCAGTGATGAAGCGAGTAACATGGCTGTTGAGCGGAATCTGGCTTCCCCGTGGACTTTGCTCATCAGAAGGTCTCAAAAAGTTGACCACGTGACCGCCTGGACACTGCAACCATCGTAAATGTCAGTCAAGTTGCCAACTGTCTGAATCTTGGATCATGTGTCCATGGGGATGCTGCCACGGTTGTAAGTGTGAAAAATGATCATGAGTCACTTTTTTCAGTGCTATTGTAACTTTGAATGGTCATTAAATGAGCTGTTGTAAGTCGAGGACTACCTTGGGTTAGTAAGATTTTACAGAGGATTCAGTGTCTCTGTACAGTTTTGTATAATAGACTTTTTGATATATACATATACACTCTGTTTTTCTTTTCCAGAATCCTACAGTTTGAGAAGAGTTGATAATTTCCTTTCACTAGGCCCATCTAACAGTTATCTCCTCCTACCAAGATCTTCAAAACAACTGGAAGTTTGAAGAATTCTTGATGTTGCACCTTAAGAGATAGCTTTGCCTTCTCTTCTTTTAAGTTCTTGCACTGGAATCTGACATTTTTCTTCTTCGGTTTGAAAAAAAAACAACCCTGTCACACTCGCTCGCTTGGCTTTTTCTGCACCAGAATCATAAGGGAAGTTTGCAAAGAAAAATATTTTTTTCCTGGCATTCACCATGGAAAACAAGTAAATTATGATCTTACATTCATTATAGACTTTCTAGCATTTTGGCATACCTTGCAGATCTTTGCCTTTGGGTATTTTTTTCCTGTTGCATTTTGCTGAGATAAAAGACATTTGCTTAACAGCAGGTTCTGTGCCGCTGCTTTCCCAGACAGCTGGAATTTTTGCAGTGTGGCCCTTAGACAGTTAAAAACGTTTTTCTTTTTTTCCCCTTTTTTTTTTGACCTTTAGGCTATCCTTAAGAACAGAAAACGGTGACATATTTGCCTGATGCATGGGAATCTTCAGTGTAATTATCGGTGAAACATTAACCTACAAAATCATGGAATATTGCCTTCATTCAATCTTAGACTGTACTTCTAAAAATATATCCAATAAGCATTGATGTCAAAATACTGCACTGTGTGATTGTGAAGCAGTTTGTGAATCCATGGTAGACATGAATCTTCCTTGTGAGAGAGTATTGGGTAACATTGTTGGCATCTCTACTTTTCTGAATGATCTTCCTCTTACGACTTGAGGTGACTTTAGGTTAAACTGATCAAGGAAGAGGGGTTTTTTTTGTTTTGGTTTATTTTTTCGGTTCTTTTTGCCATTTTTGTTGCCAAGATGGCTTCTGTCCGGTTTATGGTTACCCCCACTAAAATTGATGATATCCCAGGCCTGTCTGACACTAGCCCAGATCTCAGCTCCCGCTCGAGCTCCTGTGTCCGCTTCAGTTCCAGAGAAAGTGTGCCTGAAACAAGCCGCAGTGAGGGTGCCAGTGATTTTTCTCGAGCAACTACTTCCTTGGCCACTGAAGCAGCCGAGCCTACTTCTGACAAGATAACCAACCCTCGCACAGATGTGGTTGAAGGTAGGCCACCTTTGGTGGGAGGGAGACCGGATATTTAAAGTCTACCAGTAATTTTGCCAATGGAGCAAAGTTACTGGTTGCAAGTGCCTTGTTTGGTAAAAGAATCAGGTGGTGCTTATTTTCAAGTGTTGTTGGTAGAAGAACATTGAGAGATGAACAGATCTTGGAAGCTTCTTATTCAGAAGTTATGGGAAGCACAGTTCCATTCCTGGTTGTGTTGCTCATGCAAAGAAGTATTTTCTGTGATTTGGGAGGTACAAGAGTTATGTTGATGATATCAGAGGAGTGTGAATGGGCCTGTCCATTTCATATTCCATACAGTTTGACAGATGTCATTTTCACACATGACTGGATTTTTCAGATTTGGCACCTTAGAATAACATTTGTCGTTTTTATGCCAAACTATTAATCAGTGGAACAGCTTGCCTCCAGAAGTTGTGGGTTCTCCAACACACAGGAGGCTTTTAAGAAGAGTTTGGACAACTATTTGTCTGAAATATAATAGAGTTTGCTGCTTGAGGAGTGGGTTGGACTAAAGACCTCTAAGATCCCTTCCAATTCTGTTATTCTGTTAAAACCAGCCAATGTTGTTGTCTTTAAATTGTGCTTTCCCTTTGGAGTACTAAGTTTGCTGATCATCTCAGTTTTTCAGATTCCTTCTCTTTATTTTTTCCCTTGTGCCAGGAAATGCTGAGCAAGACTCATGGGAAATGACTTGGGAGAATTTCAGTTCCCTTAATTTTGTTGGTTTGTCCTGTCTGAGTTTTTAAAAAATGTCTAAGGTTAGACCAGGTTTTGCTCAGTCATCACTGAGTCAAAGTCACATCTTCACTGTGGAGTTTCTGAATAACAACACTGATCTGTCAACAGTCTTTAGATCCAGCCAGTCTGTAGTTCATTGTCTGTTTTCTGAATCTTACTTTGTTCTAAAAGGCATCTGTCCTAAATTGCCCTCAAATCCCCAGTTTTGGAACAAGTTGAAAATTTTGAAAAGGGGTAGTGAAACAAAGGAGAAAAAGAATGCAGTTTTTCCGAGCATCATCTATGGAAGTGAAATACCACAGGTGAAAGCTTATGCAATAAAGCCCCTTTTATCTGTTCACCAAAGACTGTTAACAAAAATCATTTCTGGGAAATCTGGCAGTTGTGCTTTTGATAACTGAGAAATCCCCTTTACCAATCTGTTTATGTGTCTGAAATAATTATTTAATTATAGCTATGTTTGGCCTCCAGCTTTGCTTTGCAGATAACACCTTTTTGAGATGCTGCTAGAAAGAAGTAATTGTAGTAAGGCAATAATTCCTCTGATCTTTCAATGAGAATGTGTATATGTGAATAACTTTAATCCTCAATTTATATTATTTTACAAGATACATATTAACATCAAACCTAGGTGCAATTTAAGAAGGGGTAAGTAGATGAAACGTTGTATGGTACAGCTGTATCCTTCTTTAGCAATCATTCCCATTCTACAGTCTGTGGATAACTGGTTGGTTTGTAAGAGTATTGTAGGTGGCCCCTAAATTTATCCATTAATTTTATATTAATGGATAAAATTCACCTAGGATTTCATGGGATTTCAGCATTCCTGTTCCAAGTATGATAATATTTCAGGTGGAATATCAAAACCTTATGAGAGTACATGGTCTCACAAGTTTTTAATCATGTCATATTTTAAAATTAAAATTTGAGGTCCTTCAGATGCTCTCAGTATACACGGGTGGGTATCTGCAGTGTAATAATGTTCCTGAAGGATTCTGAAATTTGGCAGAAATGCTAGATAATCAATTCAGCAAGTAATCTGACTGCTTTTAATGGTGATGACCAACCTTTAATTGCCTCTGGAAGTATACTGGAAGGCAAAGTCGCTTGTGCAGCAGTGGTGTTACACAGGGGAACTTTAGAGTACCCCAAACTAAGCACTGCTACTTTCTGAAACATTTTAAGTTCTGAGTGTTCTTCTAGGAAAGCTCCATCTAGAGCACAATGCAGTTATCCAATTAGGAGGTGACAAAGGTATGAATGATAAATATCGTATAGTCCAGAAATGAGCACAACTGGTGCATGGGACAAATCTGTGCAAAACGTTTAGACCTTGGAGCTGAATGTTCAGAATGACCTCCAGATGGCATATTAACTCTGGTGAAATGCTACTCCAATAGCAGTAAGAGTCGTAAAAGCAGATCTAGAAGATTCAGAGGTCTAGAACCACTTGGATTTGCCAGGGTTGAGATGAATCCTATTCTACCCCATCCAAACCCCCACAGCTTCCAGTGACTGGATAAGAACCTTGAACAAATTGTACAGTTGAGTAATATTTTAGTATTGATTGTCCTGGCAAATATCTTCATTCAGTGATTTCATTTAGATGTTAAATATGAGTGGGGAGAGAGTTGAGCCTTGAGGAACTGCACATAAGAAAGGTTTAGCATTACACCTCTCCCCCTCCTCATCAACATTAACTGGATTGAAGGAAGGAGGAGAATTACCACAAAAGAGTAGCCTCCATTCTAACCCATGGACTTAACCCATAAAGGTTCCATGATCAGTGCTATCAAAAGCTGATGAGAGATGTAGAAGAACAAAGACAGATGCACCACCACCACCATTACGTGTCCTCTAGAGATCTTCTGCAAAAAAGTATTTGTTACCACTTGGACACAACTACATGTTCCTCCTGGCTGGCCTTGACCAACTAGGAGTGACATGGATCTAAAATGTAGAAGAGTTTATAGCTCCAAGGACCCTATCTACTTCCTCAGGCCTAACCAGGTTAAATTTATTTCAGATGGCAAGATTGTATCTCAATCACTTGCATAAGATCTGTTTAATGGTAAGAGCCGTGGTGGCGCAGTGATTAGAATGCAGTACTACAGGCTACTTCTGCTGACTGCCGGCTGCTAGCAGTTTGGCAGTTCGATTCTCACTAGCTCAGGATTGACTCAGCTTTCCATCCTTCCAAAGTCGGTAAAATGAGGACCCAGATTGTTGTTGGGGGCAATATGCTGACTGTAAAACTGCTTAGAGAGGGCTGTAAAACACTGTGAAGTGGTATATAAGTCTTAAGTATTGCTAGTTCGTGTCCAACTCAAGTGGATTCCAGTGACTTTGTCCAACAGATGTGTAGAATAGTCCTCTCAGTGAGCCTGAAAAAGCTTCAGCAACCCCTCCTTATCAAGAAGGGATCTGGTCACCTAAAAGAAGGCTGCCGGTTGGTTATTTCCAGTCACAATAAAAGCAGCCCACTTTATTATTTGTTCTGTCACCAAACGAGTCCACATAAGGTCTCTTACTCATGCTCAGTTAGATTTGCTCTTTTGTCTTTCTCCAGACGTATTCACAAGAGGTGTTTTCATCTCCCCGAGGTCCTCAGAAAACAGGAAGCTGTGTTGGATCTCCAATCATGAAGAGTGTACACTGGTCCAAGATCTAGTTTAAGGCTCTTGGTTGCCTGCTCATTCTAGGCAGCAACATAAGGCCTCGGCTTGGCTAGAGTATGCTGCAGAGTTTCAGGAATATTTCCCTGAAACCCTACTGGGTCCATCAGTTGCCTGGCCTGGAGCAACCCAATAGGCCTTTCCTCCCTGCAGCAGGCAGCAGCCACAGAGAACTGCAGTGATTTGTGTAGTTGCCTGGAGTCAAGTTTGACACGAAGGAGTTACTGCAGTGCACCATTTTCCCTCTTTTCTTTTGCAACTGTCGTGTCATCAGTTGCACAAGCATCATCACTTTGTTTGACCTATAAATAGTCTTGCCTGCTTCAAGGAATCAAGGTTGCGTGTATGTGCATCCAAAAACGATGGCATTTTATATTGCGTTTATCCCCTTAGATTTTTTTGCAATGCCTGTGGGATGTTTTTCTCCAAATACTGTATCATATTTAGGTAAGAGGCAATTCTGAGGCACGTTTAATTGTGAAAATTGGCAGGTTGCCTTTCTCTCGTTGTTGGTTTGCTGAGTTCTTGCTCAGTTTTGCTGAGCACTGATGTGTAGATGTTCTCCTGCAGCTAATGTCTATCCTTCAGGAAGCAGGATAATTTTGTATATTTATTTAATTATATTTTACACCTTTTTTCTCCACAAGAACAATTTTTGGAGTACACAATAAAAACAGCAACTACAATAATGTTTTCTTTGTAGCTCCTACTCCTCAATAGCACTTTTTTTCCAAGTGCTATGTTTATCTCACACTATTTCCTCCTCTCATTTATACTTACTACTTTTTTTTTATAGTCCATACAGATGTTACATGAAGACTTTTATGTAAGCCATCGCACCTATTTTGCTATTGGCCTTTCCTTTTTCTTCTTGTTACTGCTCTAGTAGTTATCTATAGACAGAGTATTTCTCTTTACATAACCTTTATTAAAGAGATTTTAACAAGATAAAAACAATATAGATTTTAGAAAAGAAAGAAAATTGTGAAAAGGTGAGAAAGAAAATAGGAAAAAGAAAGAAAATAGAGAAGAAGAAACAAAATGTAAGAAAGTGGCTTCTGATCCTCTTAACAACAGTTGTAAATGCATTCATGTTTTACCTCATTAAAACAATTCTTTTCAAACTTGGTAATGGCTGGGAAATTCTGGGAGTTGAAGTCCACACACCTGAGATTTGCCAAATTTGGAAAAAACCACTTAGACCTACAGAGCCACCTGTGGTTTTTGCCGCACTTGTGTGGTTGTTTGCTTTATGAAGAAGAAACCTCTTTGAGATTATATCTGACATACAGTAAGCGAGCTAGTCTTTCCTTATAGCAATTCTACATATGGATAAACATGAGAGAAGATAAATTGTGCAGCCAGCCAATCAATGTTTCAGTTGTTACTGAGATCCTTACTGCTTCCCTGATTTATCTTACGAGATGTTTTCTCTAAAACTGCTTGTATTTCAATACTACACATACAGTTCCTACTAAACAAAAGGCAAGTAGGATCATATTTTTGTGGCTAGAGAGAAAAGAAAAAGCAACTGATTAGCGATAGCAACTTCAGTGTGGTGGT